ATGGTGGGCACTGCTGGGATCTGCCCATGGTGGGCACTGCTGAAGGGTGGGAAGGGGTGGGATGCAGGAGCCAGGGGCCCAGGGCACTCCTCAGACTCCCGGTGAAGTGGAGGCAGGGAGCAGGATGATCCAGCCTGGCAGAGCATCCTTCTGTGGGGATGTGCCACCCTGGATGAGCCCCATTCCCTGTGGAAGTGCCACTTTGGATGATCCCAGTTTTCTGGGGGTGTTGGCCCTTGGGGTGTGCCAGCCTGGCAGAGCCCCACTCCTTGGTGATGCCAGTCCCTGGGAGTACCCTTCCCTTGGGATATCATCCCCTGGGGATGTGCCACCCAATCCAAGCCCCTTTCCCTGGTGATGCCACCCTGACTGTACACCATTCCTTGGAGATATTGCCCCCTTCCTGGCCACCCTCCCCTGGGGATGCTGTCCCTTGGGAACGTGCCACCCCGGCCTTGCCAAGCCCTGGGGACATCCCACCCTTCCCAAACTTCCCTCTGTGTCCGCACACCAACCCCTGGGGGTGTCCCACCCTTCCCAAACCCCTTTCCCTGCCCACCTGCCGATCCCTGGGGACATCCCACCCTTCCTGACGCCCCCCCCCTTTCCCGCTCCAGCGCTTCCAGGAGGTGGAAGAAGCCCATCTCCGCCACATGAAGGGGCTCATCGGCTCCTACTCCCACTCGGTGGAGGACACGCACGTCCAGATCGGGCAGGTGGGGCCCAGCTGGGTGAATTCCCCCCCTCCTCGTTCCCCCCTTTTCCTCTGTGTCTCATTTGTGTCCCCCCCTCCCTTCTTTTTTTTCCCAGGTCCACGAGGAATTCAAGCAGAACGTGGAGAACATCGGCACCGAGATGCTGCTCCGGAGGTTTGCGGAGAGCAAGGGAACGGGGAGGGAGCGGCCAGGTGAGGAGGGGGGACCCCTGCCAGGTGAGGAGGGGGGACCCCTGCCAGGTGAGGAGGGGGGACCCCTGCCAGGTGAGGAGGGGGGACCTCCCCCCTGTGCCAGGGTGGATCCCACGGTCCTGGGCTGATCCCTGATCCATGGCAGGAGCGCTGGATTTCGACGAGTACCGGCTGGCTCCAGCGCAGGAAGGCAAGTACGTCTGCATCCAGCTGGGAATTCTGGGGGGTGGGGGGGCTGTTCCTCACTCTGTGTCCCCCCCGCCCTTTCCCAGGACCCAAGAGGAGCCGGAGTAAAGCTTTCCGGATCCC